TGCAATTATATCCCGTATGGTTAGTACGATAGCCCGAATAGGTGGTTAAGCACTTTTTATGGTTATTTTGTATGCACTGTATTTGTAAAACTACAAAACATGATTAATTAAGAAAATCGTCAATACAGAAAATACAGATTTTTTAATAGAGTGGATACAGATTTTTTATAAAACCACCTGGCAGCTCTGCGTACGTACCTGCCGTCCGTGAACGGGTAGGGTAGTAATTAATTAAATATTAATCCTGATAAATTGTCTAATGAAAAAGTTTCCCGACGGAAAGTTTACCCCTAATGTTGTCCGTTGTTGCTGTTGTTGACAGTTTCGTAGTCGGCGTCAACAACCGACGACGACGGCAGACAGGCAGAGCTAATTTCAAGTCCTCCCGGATGTCAACGAACGGAAGCTGTGACTGAAGACTTTTGCCAATTAGTCGTCGCCTTCGGCGTCGTTATGGACAACTAAGACGATGACGACGACTGCTGACGATGTGCCAAAGGCAATAATCGTTCATCAATACGGCTGGAACTATGGCAAACATCAGTTTCCAGCGTGGGAGTCCGGGTGATGGGCTATAAAAAGCCAGGAGCCACCGCCGTGCCCCGTGCGGTGGTACGATTTATGGGAGGTGATTAATTTTCGGCTGCCACAGGAGGACCAACGCAAACTTTTGTCCGGCGAAAATTGGTTACTTCGTACTTCCGAGCGATAGTAAAAGGCTTTAATGACGAGTATATTTAGAACTGGCTTCCGGACAAATTGGCCACCTGGGAACGGGGATAATTTACTGCCGGAACAGCAGACTATCCAACTTCCAGACGACGAGCTGGCTATGGAGACGCGTGGTCAGCTTTGCCAAGTGAACGAGTCGATGATGGAGCACAGCTTTAAAATTCAAGCCGTGTGGCTCTTGACAGCGTTATCCGAGGTAAATCCATCGCCCATTTCCTGACAGGTGAGCTCTGCGAAAATATCCACATTCCGTTGAAACAAAACTCGGTATAAATTATGAAACTTTGTGCCGGCCGTCGTCGTCGTCATCGTCGTCGTGGTCCATTGTGTGATACGGGGAGTTTGTAACTTTTCCTCTGCGGCTCCGCTTCCACGCACGGCCAATGAGATGAATCCAAATTTGAGTGCAGTTTACTCATAAATCGCAAAAAGTGCAGAAACTCAGCGATGAGTAAATTTGTCTCATGTTTTTCCGGGAAAAAAATCCCGATTATGAGAAAAGTAAAGATGGGACTCTCTCAGTCTTTTGGTACTACTTCTGTGCTGGGTAAAATTTTCGTCAAATTGAGGCAAATTTACTCATCGTTGAGTTCCTACACTTTTGGCGATTGTGAGTATACTGAACTTTGGGTTGATCTCATTGGCCGTGTGGCAGGAGGGATATCGCATTTCTAGTTCGTTTCACATGTTGCCGTTGCCGGTGGTTGTACCTCCGCGTCCGCGCTGACAGTTATTCGATTTTATGACGTGGCGGCGTGTGGAATCGGAGAAATTATTTGACGGGCAGTAGTACCGGTCTGACTGAGTTCTGGGAAATCCCAGATCCACCATTGTTGAGTTCCTGGAAGGAGATGGACGGGATTAATGAGGGTGATGGTGAGTTTGCAAAAAGTGCAATTCTATCCGTTGACTGACAATTTGAAATGGCGCTCAACGGAAAGTTTTCCGGTTGTGATGTGATATTGAAGAGTGTAGTTTGACCATTAAGGATTATCTGGGTAGTTCAGCATCGATAATAAGCTACCGGGAAATGTTTCGAGACGGCAGCGAAGTGGACCTGATATTGATAAACGGTACAGGTATGTTAGGATCGAGGGGGGCGACACATCTAAATCTCAATTTTAGATGCTCAAAAAATCTCACACTAGCGGATCAATCTTCGAAAAATCTTCTTGCATTTCTCGCATCTACTTGCATCGCGCATCATCTTTTTGCAGGAAATCTTCAAAATCGTGATAAATCTTCTTTCTATCTACTCCGCGTACGCGCAGCTAGCCACTGCAAAACACAATATTTCCTGTATCGTAGATAGAGTCGCCCCCCTCGGTTAGGATGTCATGTTCAATTTTGTTGACTTTACAAGTGGTGGAGAACAACAGAATCAGGGGTATTCCGAGACGTTCAACAGAGAACTGCACAATCCGTTGGCGAGCTGGTGGCAACTGATTGTCACTTCAAGCTGGATCAAGCGATGCACAACACATGCTTCATCGGGTAATGCTTCTGGAACTTGGGATAAATCAGTCGAAATTACCGGTTTCAAAAAGCGGTTCCAACTCGGATAAAAATCAAATTAGCTATTAGAGGAAACCCTAGATTTATCCTATGGTCCCTTTGTTAAACGCCTCTGTATGTCATTGGTATCAATCACGGCATGGCTGCTTGCTAAACTGCGAATGAAACGACCACAGCTCCCATTTATCATAGGCACTATTTACAATCGTTCTTTGTACCCCACCCATAGAAAAAGGGAGCAAAACTTTATCGGTTAAGAAAGGGGACATTTTCTTTTTGGAGATCTTGATTAGCCGATGGGAAACCGAGCACTTGGTCAGACTCAAGCGAAATTGGCAATTCTAATCGAATTTATCGATTTCAGTTTTCAGCACCCAAATTGTAAAATTTACATCACCCGTCATTGTACCAAATCGTATGGCAAAAACGGTTCATTGCAATTTCAGCACGTCATCTCGCTTCCTTCAATTTCCGGTCGACCTCTCAGGCGTCCTCCGTGCAACGTTGGAAAATGGAACGGGACCGACCGACCGACCGACCGTGTCAGTAGTCACCAGATGGCACAACGGAGTGCCGGAGAGCGAATTGACAGCTGCTGTCCTTTTCGAGATGCATCCTCCGTGGCGCTGACCTGAATTTCAGCGCCAACAAAGTTTGGTTTAATTCATTTGTATGTACTGTACACATTACCAGTTAGTATATGCACCGGGAGTGCATTATCTGCGGCCGTGTCCCCCGATTTAGCAGGTGGACTGCACCGCACGGACAAAGTTCACAATTAAGCATTAATTAGCTATGCAGCGGTCTTCGCTGTCGCTGCTTGCCGATGCAACTTGATTGTATTCCAACGCAGGACATGTGCTCCTACATATTGCCAACACTGTGTCGGAACTGTGTATTCGGCTTGAATTGCTCTAAATAGATTGTGGTCCAGTGCTGGCTGCAACATCATCATCCTCATCATCGTTATCCTATTAGAGGTCGGACGGAACAGAATGTGACTGACAACAACTGACTGCGACTATGACGACGCACATTCGCTTTAATAATAGGCTTCACTTAAAATAGATAGACGGTAAACTTCGTGGAAGGACACAACTTTCGTCCACAGATCCTAGTTTGCAATGATTGTTTCGTTGCAGGTAATATTCCAGTAGTGGCTTGTGTGGAAAATCGCTGACCTAAACGAATATTGAACTGAAAATCAAACACAAAGTGAAGCCCTTTTTCCATGCGAAGGGAGAGTTGACCTTCTCAGAAGAAAAGTTTGATTATCTACCAACCTGGTAAAAGTAAATCCGGACGCATCTTTCCAGACTCAGATCCGGCTCTCGGGAAAAGCGTCATTCACAATGATGGTTATCAGCATAGACGAGCCCGCATAACCGCGAACCATAACTTGACATTACCAAAAATAATTAAAAATTGTTAATAATCCCTGCTAAACTTTAACTGAAATTGTTATGGAACTTTACATGAACGTTTGTGTGATAAAGTTTTAACCTTATGTATTATAGTTTTTTTGAAGTGGACCTTACAAATAATAGGTTGTTAAGAACCATTACCATTCTAAATAGTTGTTTTGACGTAGGATTACGTCTTTCGGCAACATATTGGGGGTGCAATTTCAAAAAACCGAAATCGATCGCATTACGATAGGTGGTCAGGTTTTGACCACATATAACTCTGTCAATAGTGAATGGATTTTAATTCTAAACATACCAATCGATTGAAAATGTTTCTACGAATCTGCTCAAATGAACACTTTATCAATTTTCAATAGGTCACTATTGAAAATTACACAAATGTCCAACTGTTGCAATGGTGATCAAAATTATCACCGATTGCCTGCAAAAAGCGCTTTCCCTAACACAGATTTCAAAATAGAGTTCCATTCGGTTTCGCCGAACGGTGCTTATGCAATTACCGTGTGTTGTGGTGTCTGGTTGGTCGTCATCAGCAGCAGCAGCAGTGCTTTTGGGCGTGGAGTTGAACATTGTTCTCCAGTACACAACGAAAGGCTGTCCGGAAGCAGAAAGCTGCAGCCCACATGAGCATCCATTCACCAAAGAAGGAGGAAGAAGCCGCAGTCGCTGTGGGCCATCTATGCCAAGCGCGTCACCCTCGTTCCAGCCTCATCCGTGTTGAACACCTTAATAGCTCAGCACTACTCAACCATCACGACAAAAGGATTCTTTTCAGGACCACCATAAATCTGTTAAAGAGTATTTTCTGGACATTTGTCAAGGTCATCAAGTTGTTTACAAAAGTTGATAGGCCCGTTTCAATTGTTACGCGAGTATTATTCATGTGTTCATTTTTAATAAACAGGGTTCCGCTGTTGTGTCAATGTTTGTTCAGTAGATGAACAAAAGTTCACCCGTGCACTAGTCTATAGGGTTTTTGGTTCAAATCAGAGACGATGTTAAATGGACGAGTGCACCGATGAATTTGAGTTCACTCACTCAAAAGTGACACAAGCTGTGGGCAATGTTTACGAATCATGAACACTAAATGTTCATGAATTAGGTTTTGCACCGTCGGGGCTAACCTCAATCGGATGAACTTTTTTGACAGTTCAGTGGTACTGTTTACATGGACTTAGTCGTTTTTTTTCAGGGTAGATTGATTGCAGTGAGATGTGAAGTGAAGTGTTACTTGCATGTTTGTTTTAATAATAATATAAAAACTGAAGTGATTCGATAATGTTATTTATTCAATATCAAAAATAAAGAAGAAAGGTCAACATGGAATCAAGTTCTGTTACTGTAGTAGTTACCTAGAAGCTCCGGCAAAATAATATTTTGGAAATAAACTTGCGCTTTCTTACAGGAATCTTCCCATAGCTTTGTATTTTTTTCAACACAGATGCACAGCTGATCCACTTCACTCCAGACATAAAAATATCCAAAACGAGCATTGGACGCATATATTTGTGACTGAACCTGCAGATAATATTCATGGTCTGTTCGGATTTTGAAGCTATCACCATCGCTGACAAGATATTCCAAATCATTGAACGATTGCTGCTTGTTCGATAGCCGGAAAGGACATTTGATCTCAATGCATGCTTTTCCGCAACAATCACATTCCACCAAATAATCTGGAGTGGCAGCCATGTATGGTTTGCTCTGGTGAATGAAGATACCACAATCCTCAAAACAAACGTTGCGGTGATGCTGAAATTCTTTCTCAATGCTTTTCTTGGCTCTAGTTTCGTTTATTCGGCCGTATCTAGTCGCTTCAGATTCCGAGCTTACCATGTATGGATGGCAAATCTTTTTCAGCAAGGACATCTTAGCTGGTACCGTAACAGGTGATGCATGGACGCACTGGCGCATCACAGAAGCCGTTATTCGACCAATCCTCACCCAACGCCATAAATCACTGCGGTTTTGCAGTCGTGTGAGACGTTCGACTTCTGCGACTTCTTCATGAGTGACGGTTAATTGAACGCGCTCGATAACCTGTCTTATTTTCTCAATTTTTTCAAGCTCCAGTTCAGGGCGGAACTGGTTTGCCAAAACAAGGTTTTTGTTGAGAATAATTTTGTCGGGCATAAAGTTTTTTCTGCAGTCAACGCAGGTCCTGTCGGAATTGCAGAATTTCTTAACGATGACTGGTTCTTCCACCTCACTTTCCAATGAAGAAACAAAATCCAAAAATTGATTCCTATTGGTTTGTATATTGAAGTCATCGTTCCTCGTTATCTTGAACCCATAATCTATGTCGACCACTGCATGGTTCAAGTCTTCTTTAATTCTTTTAGCTGGTCTGGCCCAATATGACGGCAACTCAGTTACTGTCAACTTAAATAAGCAATGTTTATTAATGGCATTAACACTAGCATTAACAACTATACCTTAGTAATATTTAATTTGATTTATAAAATACCTTACACGTAGATGTCATGAAGTGCAAATTTGCTAGTGCAAACAGCAATGCGCTTACGTGAGAACAGGTCTCGCTTACACCTGCTACGCATGTGCAATGGGCGGACAGAATAGATCCATTTGGTTGAATGATAATCCACGATATAAGAAGTGGTTCATTCATTCGCATTGAATGATAAATCTGAAGATGTAAAGATTTTAAAAATAACAGTCAATAAAATGAACTTATTGCATTAAACAGGAAAATCAAGTACATACTTTACCCCGAACAATATGTAAATCGTTGACAACTCCGCCATAAACACTGTGGATAAATCCAGCCTCGAATTTTTTGAAAGCTTCAATGCTTCGTGTGTTCCTGACGTACATTTTTCCAGGGACCGTATGATTCAATAAATAACTTACAACATGTCCAACAGTTACCGTGGTTGGAAAGTCTCGCTCGTTCAGTGTAGTTTCAAACGGATCTATGAAATTGATAACCTTGATTTTCTCCACGTACCTCGACTTTTCCGTTTTCGGCAATTTGTTCGCATAAGCGGACAGCCTACTTAAAAACCTTCCTCTATTCTCCATTTTCGGAACTTGAATGGGATACTCGCGCAAGCTTGTTTCCTATTCAACTTTGTGGTTAGTTTTTTTTTTTTTTCTAAGGGTATGGGAAGACCTCATTCATAATTATACAAAAATCAGTGGAAAATTCGAATGATGTTTAACCAAATGGATGATTTCAAGTCCTATTTGCATAACGAATATTTGATTAAGAAAATCTTTAATGTTTATTAAAAACTAGAAAAACATCGTATCATATTAGACACCAATGACCATGTATAAAGCTGCTGAAGGAATATCAAGGATATGTTTCAAGAAACTACTGATAGACTTTATTTTCCGATTCACACTAGAGATTAGTAATTTTTTAGACTAAAATGAAATAAATAGTTCTAGTAGGCTTCAAACAGTTTTTAGTGGGTGGCAGTGATATTGCTCCATGTCCCCCTACTATAATTCAACATTGACGTTATAGCGTCATCTTCGAAGCATAACTTTATGAATTGTACATCGAGGCTATGCAAAACGATTGTATCAACCAAAGGATGTTATCTAGAAATGATGTTGACAAAATAGCAAATTCAAAACTTCCAGGAACACCCACAGCAAACATTGTGTTTCTTAGATATGGAAAAAATTGGTTCATTTACTTTAACGATAGTGATTCAATAATTTAAGATATAGGTACAATTTATCAATAATTAAAAACAACAAACAGGCTATGCAGTAGTTTTAATGTTATGAACGATGTAGGTTATAGTTTTAAGTTGCTCAGCGGATAACGTATGCATCTAGGGTAAATGTGGAGTTGTTCCAAGGGCGATTCATAGGTTAGGTGGCCAAAATATTAAAACATGGATACCTCCGTAATCAATAATGAGGTCCTCTTTCACCCTGCTTCGGATTAGCCAAGAGTTACCAGTCAATTATGGCATATGGGAATTCTATTCACCATAGTTGGAATACCTCATAATATGAACGTATGGTCATAACTAGTACACCTACTCTATAATAATAAAACATTACTTTTTGTACATGTAACTATAATAACATAGGTTTATTTTTCTTGAGATTGTAAACGGTTTTTAATCTATTTATAACAAATGAAAGATTTGTCTTAAAGAATTAATGAATTATCGACTTATTTAAACTTACAAGAATACTTGCGACTTTAACAATCAAATCAATGATGGTTAATCCATTTTGGAATCGCGCCAATGTATTAACAGGAATGGTACTAGAAAGAATCGAATATTTTTCTCGCAGATATCCTATAACGCGTTCTACATGAATTCGGTGTGTAGTTATCTGTTTGTCCTCACTCAATTCCTGCAGCGAGAATTGCTTCTTTTTACGAAGAAAGTTTGGTATGTTCAGACTCGATTTTTTGCTTGTAACAAGATCTGCAATATCAAATCCCTTATCTGCCAAAACGACATCGTCTTCTTCAATGAGGTCAATTAGATTACTCTGCCTGAATATTTCTCTATCGGAACATCTTCCGGCGAAGCCAGCTGAAATAAATGCTATTGTGCTATCAGGATGTATGGCAATCAAGAACTTAATGGTTTCATGTTTTTTTATAATTACTGTAGTGGCCACTGGCAGCTTTTAATTTAGACGGCGTTTGGCAAAATATTTCAAAACAGTCTATTATGTATACTCTCCTAGAGCCAAATTGTATAACAAATTTGTCCGGCGTATGCTTTACCAGAATGGCTTTCGTTGTTGGCTCGATTGCCCATTTACAACACTCGTATATTAGATACAGGGTGCGATGGAAGTATTTTGAGACGGTTGTTACGCTGACATTATAATCATATGCCAAAGAAGAAAGCGGTGGATTCAGTCTCAACTTCGTCAGGGTCATAACAAACAACTGGTCTTTTGAGAGGTTACAAAACGGTTGATCAAGCGACGGTTCCAGATACGTGTATAGCTTTGACAATACTGAGAAGCTGGTAATGCCTGTGTAATAGTTACAGGTTTTATCATCTTCGACAAATTTTAACCCCCTTCTTCCTATTGCCAACTTGTTTTCCATTTCGTAACATCTGCTATGCAGTCTTATAATTTTGGAGTAGTATTTTTGAAAAGTTTCTTGCGGCCAGCAAATTCCTGAAAAAAAAACAAATTAATATTTTTGTATAATAAAATCATATCAATTAATTTAAAGATATTTGTGGGCAAATGCATGTCAGATAAAATTTTCCTCGATTGATTTCAGAATTGGTTTTATGACCATTTGTCAATCAAAAAATCGGTTAACTTAATTCGCTTTCAACCGCGATGTGTTTGCAATAGGGGATTGTTATTATGAAAAAAATAATGTCCGGGTTGTTACTTTTTTTAACGTAATTCAAAACCGGTAAGAGACACCTCTTTGAAATTTCCACCAGTGAAAAATAAAAACTTTTGATTACATGTAAGGGGTCGTCCATTAATTATGTCACACTTTTAGGGGGGAGGTGGGGTTTTGGAAACTGTGACGAGTCATACAAAAAAAATTAAGGTCCATACAAAAAATGTGACATGTTCGCTTAATAGACAAGTGGACATAGGTCTAAGATCAAACGACGGGTTGAACCTAGTCTTTGAGAGCTCATTTTAGCATGAGGATGGACCATATTTCAGAACATTGATTGGCCAAATTTGGGCGCTCAAGGACTTTGTTTAGCCTTCTGCCGATAAGAGGTTAAGGTATTGTTGAAGCCGAGGTTGAAGCTGACATTAACCCTATCAGAATTCAATTAAGGCAAAATACTTTACAAAAATTGTGAAACATTTCATGCTTCATAAACAGGAAGGAAAACTATCATATGTTGTAAAAATACAAACCTCCTGCTTGAATTGCACAATCTTTTGTTTGTTTTCCAATTGAAGGTGCCGTTGAGGATGTGTCGACACTATCATTATTTGATAGGTGATCACCTTGTGGTAAAATGATCGTCTCCTCCAATTTGTTCGAGATAACCATATCATCCTTCGAGCTTCTGGCGAACGTTGCCATCGAACATTCAGCGTTCGATTCCACCGAACTATTAGCGTTTAATTCCATCGAACTATCGGACATCGATTCCAATGAACTTTCTGCGGGTAATTCCTTCGAAATTCCGGTGGTTGATTTCTTTGAACTTCCGGCGGTGGATTCCATCGATATTTTAGCAGGTGATTCCAAAGAAACAGCGGCAGTCGATTTCATCGAACTATCGGAGTTCGATTTCAATGCATTTTCTGAAGGCGATTCCTTCGGACCTCCGGTGGTTGATTCCATTGAACTCATCGAACTTTCCGAGGACGATTCCATAGGAACACCAGTGATCGTATTGATCGAATTATCGGTGTTTGATACGATTAAACTACTGGGGTTCGATTCCATCGAAGTATCGGCGGTCGATTCCGAAAATGAGCTGGCGCTACTATCCGAATCTGTATGCGTCTGAATCTCGGGAAGTTCTTTCGTAGGCACCCAATCCACATTGTGAATGTCGCTTAGCCGAGCAGGTTTTCCTAAAAGAACAACGAATGCTATGATGTTATATGAAATTATGTCGTGTATGCTTACCGGAAATAAAGTGTCGACTACAAACATATTTCCATTAACTTTGGAAATCACTTCCTACACGTAATGCATTCAACCACCGTTTTCTCCGCTCAACGGTCAAGTTATTGGTGAATACATCTTTGTTCCGGTCCGGAAACCTGTGCAAGCCACACTTCTGCAATTTCAATGAGGAACATCCTTTCACCGCGCATTTCCTCGGAATTTTTAAAATCATTTTTTCGAAAAATATTCTAAGTGCTTGTAAACAGTACCACTGAACTGTCAAAAAGTACATCCGATGAACCCTGAGTTCATTCGTGACGTCACACTGCAGAACCTAATAAAGAATAATGAACATTTAGTGTTCATTATTAGTAAACATTGCCCCTCGCATTGCCCGCAGCTTGTGTCACTTTTTCTCGAGTGAGTGAACTCAAATCCATCGATGCAGTCGTCCATAAGAGACGCGCGAAGACTGAAACCAAAAGTTCCAATCGAATCGTCAAACGCGATGGTCCAATGCACGGAATGAACTCACGAAAAAATTTGACTTATGAGCGGTGCCGTGTTTACTAAAAATGAACACATGATGCAATGCTCGCGTAACTTTAGAAAAGGTCCTATCAACTTTTATAAACAAATTGTTAGGCCCTTTTCTCGCGAACCGAAGAACGCTCACGCAAACCAGACCACTATCGGGAAGGGGAGAATTTACCCTACCCGATGGTGTTGTTGGTTTGCATGGGCGTACTTCGGTTCGCGGGAAAAATGCCTAACAAGTTTTGTGTGCATAAGTTGATAGGCCATTTTAAAATGTTGCGCGAGTATTATTCATGTGTTCATTTTTAGTAAACACGGCACCGCTCAAACGTCAAATTTGTTCATGCAGTTCATTCCGTGCATTGGTCAATACAGACCAAAACCAGGGTAATCGCTGATGATCAACATCGCATGTATCACACCAAATTTTGAAGTTCAAGTTCCAGCAAAATGAATTACTGAAGTGAATCCAGCAAAAGCAAGTTTTGCTGTAAAACCAGTAATCGGTATTATTTTGCTGATTGTTCCAGCTAACAGAATTAAAAATGTCATAATCAAGATCGGTTCTATCGTTGGCAGCTATGAGCTATGAGTCAAGAGCAAATTTTCATTACGTCGAATGTAACAAAGGTAAACAAAGTCGAGCTATCAGTGTCAATCGATGCTCCTGCGCTCCTGCTATTACACTATATACTGTCCGAATATAGGATCACATCCCATTTTTATATTTATTTACCAGTCGAATTGCTTTTTGACGTAATCACCTTCCGATCAAAATAGTTTTCGATGTTACTTAAGTCACCCGATTTCAATGGAGATGCCGTTTGCCTTAAGTAACAGCACTGAGAAACCCGTGAAAAGTGTACTTTCGTCGTTTCGCTTTCTCATTATTAAAGTGAATACATCGAACTGTTTGTTGCTAAGATGATTTCGGTGGTCC